TTTGTGCAAAGTGTGAGGTCTGGAAGCCGTGATCGTTTGATATATGGCCACCACCAATTTATTTTAATTGACTGCTCACATTCGAGCGCACCCGCCGGCCGGGATGGGGTCGAGCATGCGACAAGATTTACCGATTTCATTGACTGCGAGGAGACTACCGGTCTACGCCGGCAACACACCCTAAACATACTCGACATATTTTCGCGGTGAATAAACTGGAATAAATTCTATCGCCCGCACCCCATGTGTGCGGGGTGATAAACTAGGTGGGGCTATTCAATTGAATCAATTACAATCAGGGGGGTAAAGTACTGAGGAGAAAGTATATTATTCATGGAGTGTATAATGTACACCTACCTATGTTATTATGTATGAGTAGAATACTGTGTTTTATTCACTCATAATCATTAATATTTTGACGTGTAAAAAGTTTTTTTTGTGAATTTTAATGTTTTGATGGAGGAAATTGTTGATATTATGAATACTACACTTTATTCACTCTAATATATTAAATAATTTATAGAAATAAAATTTAAATTTAAAAAAAATGAATTTTTAGTAAAATTTTAAGAAAAAATACTTTCTGGTTAATTTTAAAGCACAGGCGCAAATTTCAGCCGTGACTAAAGTATTTTAGTCACGGTTTTGGCTGTCCGTGATTAAAGTGACACTTTTTGTGTCTCGAAACTGTGGAAAAAGTGGTGCTTTAAAGGTGGAAGTTAAAAAAATTGTGTTTTCTTTAAAAATTCGGCGATTTATCGTTTTTCTTGGGTTTTTTTAAACAATAAATAAATTTAATAATAATTTTCATAAATGTTGTGATTTTCAGGTTGAAATATTGCCGATTATAACTTTTTTTTATTAATTTTGAGCAAATTTTGTAAAATAATAATTTTTTGGCTAATTTAACACATTTTGAATGCCCGCACGCGTACTTAACCAACCCGAAAAGAAACAAACGTCATATAGCAAACCCAAATATTTGATACTTCAACGCAAAACAAGCCGAAACATTGTAATAATTGAAATGTGAAGATATAATTACAACCGTAGTGACGCATGTCGTCGTCGACGCTGGCGAAGCAGTGGCGCACATCCATTATATTATTATATTGCCATATCGGCTTGAATTAATTTAATGGGAATAGGAAATGGTTTGTTGGATTCGAAATACCGCAACGATATTGCGGCACGTTCGAGGACCACCGCCGGCGCACAAAAAGAGGAGAAATTAAGCGCCGTGTGTGCGACGTCGCTTAACGAACTTCCAAACCGAAACAGAAACAAACAGAAGAAGAACAGGAAAAAATATATATATATACCTATACAAAACAACGACTAAGCGATGCAAAGCGAAATGAGTTGCCGAAAAAGACAATGAACATGCAGCGAATGAGTTGGTTGGTAGGAGAGTATAAAGATGGTTAATAACCGCTCATAAATTTTAGATTAGAATTAAATTAGCCAGCAAATTGACATTTATTTACGCATAAAATAACATCACGTAGATAAAACAATCATAGAATTAGAAAAAATTATTTTATGTTGCAGGAAGAATAAAATTTTGCTGCCCCAGAGTACCTAATAAAAAATATTTTTTTACAAAAAAAGTTAAAAAATTGCAATTATGTGTCTATAATATTAATACTTAAAATTATCTAAAATGATGATTTTTTCATGTTTTAACCTCAAAATAACCTTAAATTTATGATGCGATGTGATGATTGTGAATTATGTAAAACACTCCTTATTATTGCATTTTAAAAGAAATTAACAATGAAAAAATACAAATTTTGCTTAAAAAACACTCAAAAAACTATGAAAGATGTTTACATATCAGAAAAAAGTAAAACTTTGCACTTAAGCGCCTGTAATTTTAGCAAATTATAAAAACCACATTTTCCCACCGAAAATTACCCACAAACATTAAAATTAACTAAAATCTTCCCACACTTACCCAAACTGTCACCTTAAACATCCGTTTATTTTACGCAAGTTTCATTAAATGTAAAATTTTTAATTTATGATTATCATTGTCCTGCGCCTGTTAATCGCAACATTAAGAAACGATAATTGAATTACTATAACCCGGCAGTGATTTATGCGTACGGTAATTTAATTGCGTGTTGTTTTATTTTTGTGCGCATTGCACGCACGCAGAAGGGTGCGATGCGGGCGATTGGCGATTATCGATGTTTTATTGGGGATTTATGGCTGAGCTGTGGCGTAAGCCGCGATAAACCGCGAAACATCCGTTCGGCTGCTGCGATGAGGATAAACGATGTGTGAAATTATACGAAGATAAATGTAAATTGGGCTCGAGCCACCTACCTGCATTCACTTACACATGTCCACATCGCATAAAATTTAAAATTAATCTAGTTATGGGTTTTTATTTAGCTGGAAAACAAATTATAGATAAAAAATTACTTTTTAAATCCCTACTAATAGTATAAATGCGAAAGTCCTGATGTTTGTTACACTTTCACGCAAAAACTACTTAACCGATCATCATGAAAATTTGTACACATATTCTTAGTGGTCCACGAATGGTTATAGGCTACTTTTTTTTAATAAAAAAATATATTTTTTAAATAAAATAAAGAAATTGTTTAGCCAATAATACCTCTGCATCTGGCTATTTGACTACTTTAACGCCATCTAGCATTCCAGCAAAGAAGCTCAAATCTAAGTACTATAGTACCATTACACTATATTATCACACTGTATTACCGACAGCTACGTCAACATCAAATCCAATTGACTACACTATGGAGACTGTACACTATACTTCCACAGACTATACTTTCAGTCATTTTAAACTTCCCGCCATTCTACTTCATTGTTACTTCTTCTGTGACTACAGACGCGTACGGAAGCAACTTCATTATTTTAGATATTCGCGAGCAAAGCCGTGGGTTAAATCTAGTTATTTTTATAAAAGTTATTGAATTTTAAACAGTTTTTGTTTAATTCTACTTCTTATGGTGATATTATGACGACTTCAAATACTATATTTTATTCACTGTAAAATATATAATGAATTTTTGGTAAAGTTTGAAGAAAAACTTTTTTTTTGTTTGTTTCAAGTCAATTTTGGTTAGAAATTTTTTTTAGTTAAATTTATTTGCTAAAATTGTTTGTCAGTTAATCAAAAATTAAATTTTAGTTTGTAAATTTATTTTTTGACGCTTGCAGTAGCTTGTGACATCAATTTTGAGTAAAAAACACAAAAAATTTACGCAAATTTCGCCAAATCTGAGCATAAAAAATTACATCTTAACAAAATATATCAAAATAAATGTAAATTTAACACCAGTCACCTACCTTCATCTTCTTAAATGTTTTTTTTTTATCTGAAAATACGCAATTTGTACACAAAATAAAACAAAATAAATTCTTGTATAGTGATTACCTTTAGATCCGGCAATCAAGTTTAATCTCAAAACGAAAGTTCGCAAATTTACAGATAATAATTACGAGTTACTTGTTTAATTTAGTACCTTTTTTTACAAATGTAACCTTCATCCACGCAACAATTCTTCAATTCACATTTTCGACATTTAACTACAAATAAAATATTTTTTATTAGTTTATTCATCTACCACTCAAAATTGTTGATTTTTCATGCGCCATAATACTTGTAATAATTTCTATAATATACTCGTGATAAGTATAGGAATGATAAATAATTTCTCATGCGTAATTTTCTTTTCTTGAGTGAGGTTAAGTTACATTAGAAAATTTAGTTGAATTATGCCTATGCGTTTGCATTCAATTCGTGTCATTTTGTTTTAATTATAAATTACAAGATCATTGATAGAATACAGTTCATTTTTCTTGCTTGCAGGTAAGTATTCGTATCTTTTATAATAATATATGCATCTCTTACATCATTAATTAAATAATTAACCAGTGAAACGTTTAATTACTCGAATATATTATGCAATTATCGCCTATGTACATAGATTAAATTAAGTTATTGAGTTTTATTAAGAAAAATATCAAAAAATTTTGAAAAAACGAAGAAAATGGCACCGAAAATTAATTTATTTAAATATTTGTTTATTCACACTGTTAATAATGTATAATTACATAAAATTATACATAATTAACAAGTGTGAATTTAATTAAAGAGTGTTTTATTTGAAATTATGATTTTTTCATGTTTTAACCTCAAAATAACCTCAAATTTATGTTGTGAATTGTGAATTATGTAAAACACTCCTTATTATTGCAGTTTTAAAAGAAATAAACAATGGAAGCATTAAATATCACGATGCTACACAAGTTAATTACAAACAACGAGTCTAATAAGTTAAAATTCTCCTCTCCAGAAAATTTTTTTTTATTTTCTTGTCTACTTATGTTGTTCACCACATAGTGTTCACTATTCGATATAAATTACACGTGTATGTACATTAAAAGTCACTAAAACGTTACTATAATGTCACTAGTTTCACCCCACTGTCAATCAACACTTATTGTTTTTTTTAAATAAAAATTTGTTTTAATTTTCAGTCGTTTTTTGAAAAAAAATTTTTTTTCTTTCTACGAAGCACTTTTGTTATGCATCTCCTGTAATTCCTCCTCTTCTTTTGTGAGCGGTATTGTTGAATGATTGTACAATCCTTGTGCCATCAATTGTAGAGCGAGTGGGTTTTTCTGTCCGGATGCTTTTTTGATTTTCGCACGTTTGTTCTGGAACCAGATCTTGATTTGCGCCTCGTTGAGGCCAAGCTCGCCGGAGAGTTGCTGGCGGCGGCGTTCGGTGAGGTAACGATTTTCGGCGAACTCGTGTTTGAGGCGGGCCAATTGCGCGCCGGAGAATGCCGTCCGTGGCCGTTTTTCTTCAGCGGCCGCGGCGGCCGCCGCCCCTGCGCTTGCCGCCGCCGAAGGTGATTTCACGCCGGGGGGAGTCGGTTTCTTCACGCGTCTCGTTCGTGGACCTGGCGGGCAAAAAGTGCGCAATTACGAATAAGAAACGTCAAATAAATGAATTTTTGTTTCTTTGGTAATACAGGGGTGGAAATGATAAATGTACGCGTTTGCTATTTTCATAATTAAAACTTTACAAAGAAAAACGTCTCATGACTCGACATTTTCAATATTTTCTTCATTTTCGTTCGTTTTACACAACAAGATGCTTGTGGTATTTTATTCAATGCTCAATAATTGCTTGCAGGGGTGGAAAATGTAATTTTCAACTTTTTTGGATGAAAAATCGGCGTCTAATCGAATCGATTCACACACAATTTGCTCGCGTAGTAAATTGATCAAAAATTATTCTGTTTGTGTAGGTAGAAGAATTTTGTAAAATTTAATCGAGTGTAGAAGTCATCCGAGCTGATATCTCAGTGATGGCGAAACGGCGAAACGAATCGAAATTGAAATTCCACAAATCCCCTGCCTTGAAATGTTCTATGTCACCCGTCTCGGTCGGCAGTGTTGCGTTACTTTCGGCTGATAGAGTCCGGCGATTTTAAATTCGCTTTCGCCGGCGTGAAATGCGACACGGCGACGAATTGAAACGACACTCACTTGCACAGAGAGTAATTTGCTCAATTCTAATTGCCAGTGTGTTCAGGGTGATGTAGTTTGATTAATTTGGGCATAAAATCAAGGGGAGGTGATTTTTTTTTGGTAAAAATGCTTGAAAAACACAGTTTTTGGCAAAAATTTCGATTTTTTAGAGAAAAATTTGAATTTTTGTTAAATTTAAGCAAAAATACAACAAAATCGAACTAGTAAATGAAGTAATCTTTATTTTTCTTCTAAAATTTTAGAAAAATATGGCCAAAATATAATTTTATGCTAAAATTTTTGCAAAAACTAAGAAGAAAGTTGAAAAAATTTTTTCAAATTTTGGCAATAATATTAAACTTGAATATTTTGTCTCCAAAAAACTCAAAAAAATAAAAATGTTGTTTAAAACTAACTAAATCCTTAGACAAATTATTTTTTGTAATTTTTTTTACAAGCTCTTCGAAAAAACACAAAATTTTGCAAAAATTTCTCCAAAAATTGCAAAAAAAAATTTTTCTTTAAAATTTTCTCAAAAATACTCCTAATCAACTCAACCAGAAAATAACCTAAAAATCCTCATCCTATTCCCTGGATGACACTTCATAAAGTGTCCTTTAGATTCTAGGCTAACCCAAAAAGCACTTATCTTCCTCCTTCTGCACCCATTTCTTGGCGTAACTTCATGATGTCACAAACCCTCAGGGGAAGGATTATATCAACTAATTACAGACTGACTGTTCCTAGCCTACTATCCTGCAGTTCATAACAATCCCCTCAAAATGCCACCCAAGTCTAACTCCGCTCCAAACTCAACATCCCGCGCGCCCGCACGTTGGTAATTTGAATTTTCGCAGAGTGACAGTTTTATTGGTCCGTCGTTAAGTGCAAGGCTAGCAATTAGCGAATTTCGGAGACGTTCGAGTCCTCCGAGTCACCGCCGTCATTATTATGTCTTCGGGAGAAAGCTTAACATTCACAATATTCGCAGTATCTACGTATTGTGTGAGCATTAAAACTCGGACATGAATTTCGCGAATCAATCACTTTCAAAAATATTACCAAATAATTGCGAGATATCGAGATTATAAAATGTTAAATTCTCATGGGTGACGAGGTTAAGTCATAAAATATTTTTAAATGTCAGAAAGCTTAGAATTAATCACAAAAACTGCAAAGAAACACTTTCCACATATTTAAGCGATTAAGATAAGAATTCGACTCAATTTCTAAATCAAATTGCGTAAAAGTTTCTTATTTATATTTACACTCAACTCGACTATGTTTAGATATAATTAATTGCGCGTAATTTGGTTTTATTTGTGAGCAAATTATTTCGAAATAAAGTTAATTGTCTTGGTGTTGAAGTCATAAACTCCATCCGAGTTTTCCTTTAAAAAATGCCTAGAAAAATGTTAATACGTTTAATCCGCTGAAATGTAAAAAAGAGGCGCGCGCACTAATTATCCTTAATAGGCGCAATTACGCGCGGAATAATAACGATAATTGTAAGCACTAAAAAGAAGCAATAGCAACGCGAGTAGTAGTAATAAACGCAAGAATTAAAATCGGCAATTAAAGTTGCAGACTTTGGTTGCATTGAGGTTATGTAAAGAAATTTAATACGAGTACGGATATGGCGAATTGTTTCATCGGAATCGTTTCGAGATGGCGTTGAGGAGCGGAAACTTGCAGTGATTGACTTACTTCGTCCTATAACAAAAAGAAACAAAAAAACAAATTAGTTTCACATGCTCGTAAAAAATCAATTAGGCGCGTATCGTGCGCAGCAGATACACGGAACACATTAAAACAAACATGGATGACTTTAAACAATCGTAAGAAACTGTAATAAACATTCAAATTAGCATCGGATGAACACAAATCGTTGATTTTAGTTGAACATCAAAAAAAATAAAACATAAATCATTAAAAACTGTTTTTTTGTTAAATTTTTTGACCCCGGAAGTTGAATGAAATCATTTATAATTTTTTTAAAGGTGTTTTTTGTGTTTATATTGATTTATGTGTTTACAATGCGCCTGCATTGGTTGCGCGATCGTTAAAGCTCCCAATTTGGATAAGAACATAATAACGTGCGACGTGTGACGTGCGCCACCTTCGGGTCGTTTTCGTCCTGCCACCGGCCCGCCAGGCATGTTATTATCGCCGCGCGGGTCGTCGTCGACGGCCGACGTCCTCGTTACACATTACGTGACGATTACGTGACGATCGGCGATGCCAACACACGCCATCGATGATTAACATGCGCGAATCAATATGGGTATAATCATCGCTACCGAAATCGAAACCTTCCACGCTTTTTTTGATTGATTTACTTTGATTTATTCATGAATAAAGTACAAAACTGTTATTTATCTTTCAGAAATAATATAATATAAGTTTCTGAACCTGTTGACAAAACTTTAATTAAATTAAAATAATTTTTTATTTGATTTTTCAAATTTTTCATTATTTTGCTATTTTTCATTATTTTTCTTCCAGTTACGTCAAGTAAAACATCGTAGGCAACTTTATAAACACATTCCCAACGCGCATGCGCAACCTGGACCTTTCACTACGTCATTTTAACTTCTTTCTAATCTTGTGTTTATTAAATTCATCACTTCATCCCTTGCATTCACTCTCAATGCGTAACTAATCAACAGTTTTCATTACACTAAGCTGGTGTTGATGTAATACGAGATGAACTTCAAAAGGGTGAGTAAACATTGAAGGGGTGCGTAAAATGCATTGACAACTTGCATGTAATGTAACGCCTCTCTATTTTTAATCTGTTTTCTTCATGTGTCTCTTTTAAACGTGATTTTTTTAGGAAACTGAAGCTTTACTGCTCTACTTCACTGCAGTTTGGAGTGTGAAATGTGTTTGGAAGGAATTACCGTGTTCGGGTGACGTACAGACGTACCCCTGACATGTTTCCAGGTCGCGACGGCGCGCGCCGCACTTAATTAAACCACAATCTGACAGAATCGTAGAATAACACCGCGCGCGCAATACTGCAGCGGATCAAAATGCCAGCGCATTGCCTACACTACCAAAGCAGACAACCAGACAGTGACAGATCTCGTCTAGGAGTATTTGACGTTCTCGTCTTCTCTAAGAATAGGTAAATATCTATAGGATATTTTTTTGCCTTGAAAGAATTCGTTTTTTAAATGTGTAATTGGTAATTTGTAATTGAAAATTAGCAAAAATGTGTTGTTTTTCGCTAATTGACGGCGCGGCATTTAAATTAGGTTCCTCTCGAGGAGCGAGGAGGTCCGAAACCGGCAAATTAATGTGCTTTACATCCTTAATTGGTGGTCGGCCTCTTTCGAGTTGTGTGGCCTTCCACCAACACACTCGTGCACTCACTAAAAGAAGAAAAAACGCCGAGTTTCTTCAATAGGTAGATATACCTACAAAGCACACTCGAAATTGATAATCGGCGCGCCGGGGACATCCCGACAGAAGAGGAACAATGTTCGGAGGGCGCTTACATGTTTTTAGATAACATTTTTCGAAAAAAAAAAAAGATTAGACAACACAAAATACACCGAATTAAAACAATGTGGAATCTAAAGAACAAAAAAAAGGTACAACGCTATTTAAATTAATGAACCTCATAACTTTTACAGTTTATTTCTTAATTTAATTGTCTTAAATTTATTTTTTCAAAAAAAAAAAATTCTGAATAATTTTATTTTTTAAAATTTAACGTTTAGACAATTACAATTCACCATCAATTATCAATTAGTGACATTGCGTATAGTTTTACATCTGCTCACTACTTAGTGACTCGCATGTCCGCATTAATATAATAATAATTATAGACGTAATTAATTATTCATCATATGAAATCGACTCCCATGTCACCGTCACCGCAGCCACATCAAGCCGAACGGAATGCGCTCATTTGCATACCGAGCGCAGCTAATTAACAAGCGAGTAAATTATTAATATCTGATAAATTCCCGTAGCTCCTAATTAATTATTCGGCGGCGCACGAACGGAAGCTACGCGTGACGCGTCGCGCTTCCGAAAACGCAGCGCGACAAATTTACGTTCGACTTAAACTCGGGTTTTAATTAGCCATCGATTAAAATTAATAAATTTCGTCAATGTTTACAAGCTGAACATGGTTAATTACTACTAAAAGAAACTAAAAATAGCAACTTGTGTATTACGTGTATATTTGGTTGCATACATTTTATCACGCGGTGTATTTACATTAAGGAATAAAAAATTTGGTTAGTTTTTTGTTGCGCAGGTTATAAACTCAATTATTCTAGTAAAAATGCCGGTAAATATTTTCTGAAGTTAAATATGAATTCCACGTCGCTATGTTGCATTCACTTGTGTAATGTTTAAATGATTTTGTTGTAACTGCTTGTGCACCCCAACAAATTAACTGAAAAATCGTTTTTAAGTTATAGAAATTTGCATTGCAATTTGTAGGGATGTTGAAATCATAATTACAACAATATTTCAAATGTTACCATCGATGTCATGTCTTTGAAAAAATATTCTAGCTCATATTTAGGTACTAGAAATTAAAATATTTTTCGTCGTTACCACAAAAAAATAATATAAACCAACCAAATTGTACAAATTTCACCGTTTTAATGAATTTGTCGTTAAAACCTTCATTTCACTGTATTTTTAAAATGTGTGTGTCACTCCGTGTTAACAATCTAATTGATAAAACAAATGTAATATGATATTCGCGCGTTGAAAGTAGGCAGATATTATATTTCACACCTTTGATGAATTTTCATCCAGGCATTTAAATAAAAATTAATCATATTGAGTTATAAATATTTAACAACACCTGCAACATAAAATTTTAACGCGTTGAAATTTTATTATTCATAATAATTATTACTCAAATATAAAATATGACTACTATACATACTTAAATTCGCAATAAAAAGTTGAAAGGTTATGCGCATTCTATAAAATAAAACTTTTTTTTGCTGCGCCTACGTAAAACACAATATCAATGAATAAATTTCGAACTCCAGCGGTATTTTTCAACTTTCTGCTCAAAACACGTGTCGTTATGGATTCCGAACGGCTAGGTGCAATAAAGTTTTGCATGTGTGCGCCGAACATTATAGCTGATTTAATGCAGCGCGCGCATAATTCCTCAAATCTCCATTAAACAAGGTGCATTGTAATCACGCGCGTGGCCAGTTAGTCACTCGTCCATTGAGAAGTGCACACAATACACTCATATACCTACACATTTTATATGGATGTGCGCACTGCGCAGGCAAATGCGACTGAGTCGCTTGTGTGTCGTAGTAGCGTCTGAGCGACTCGCGATCACTCACACCGCGCTAACCCATGATGTGTATGTATATATAGGTTATGTCGGATGGTATGGAGGTGTGTGAGTGCGAGTGCGATTTGGGTGGCCGAGAAAAGTCATAAATATACATTGAGAGTACTGTTTATATATTTTATATTGTGTTGTAGTTTGGCGTTTACACGCGTTTAGCGAACGACAGATGCGTACACCGTACACGCGGGTTGGATAAGTTGGATTCTTGAACTTTAACTGATCGTTTCCTCATTAGAAACGTTGCGCTAGATTTGCAACCAATTATACATGCGGTTAGGTGTATACAGTGTGCATGAGGAAAATTTTAGGTTAAAATTGCAAAAAATCAAAATATTTTTATGTTTAGTGAAATATTATGAAAAAAATTATACAGAGGGTTAGATAATAATATTTTGAGTAATATTTATCAAGTTAAAGTTAGTTCTAATATTTATTTTAAGAATAAATAGCAAAAAACAAGAAAAATGTTTAAAAATATTCAAAACCGCAAAAAATGTGAAAAATTATTATTTTAATAATGTTCTGATAAAAAAAATTTACATAATAATTGAACCAAATGATAAACAATGAAATTCTTCACCGTTTAAACAAATTACAGTTAAATTTTATACAATTATTAAAGAATTACAAGCAAAAAACGCAAAATTTCCAACAAAAAACATTTTTAGTGATTTTCTATTTAAAAAAAAAAAGCAGTGAAAGCAATACCTACTTATTTCTGTACCTACTGTATACACTGTACCAACTTTACACAAAAAGCAAGATGTCAATCGAATCAATAGTCACGCACATTTAATAATGTCACGCACAATGAACTGTTAACATAATGCGTCAATGAGCCACAAAGGAGTTTCATTTCTTTTTTCTTTCTGTATACATACATACAATCACAATATTTGGTTGCCTATGTCAAAATAAACATCCTTTATAAGCTACACTATTGAATCTAGTTGCATACCTACACACTTTCCAATTCAAGCATCCAAACGAATATATTATGTGATTGTTGATAGTGCTGGCTCTTTGATTGCTTAATTACGAATGATTGATTCGTTTGCCATCCTGCCATCGCGCCATCATTAGCGATTATTATGATTTATATGCGACGCGCGCTTTTTGCGGCGCTGGAAGAATACGCGCTAATTATTTATGCAAATTGCTACCGTACACAGCAAGCTATCGTCGGTTAAATAATACACAGCCCGAATCGATATCAAATTAGTGTGATTACGTGTAATTCAGTGGAAAAATGCACAAACTAGTCGGTAATGTCTGAATTACCTAGGCAAACAACCTCACAAGTATATTGGGTTGCATACATTCACATTAATAAAGATATTATGTGTTCTTTTACTCAAAAAGAAGATAAATTACACCAGATGGACAAAATTACGCAATAATCTTATTCTTTATAAAAATAAAGAAAAAAAATTAAACAGGTGAAACATGAAATAATACTAAATCAACATGTCGGACAATTAAGCCCTAAAAAATACTCTTACGGGACTATAGGACTGTTTACATTATTAAAATAGTAAAAACTCAGGTTGACTTAAAAAGGCGAAGAAAAAAAACCTCAACGTTAAATATCGCTTTGTGCATTAATACACGCGCGCGCGCGCGGCGGGCCGAAGAAGAAAGGATCGGTAGCCGGCTCGAACGTGGCGGGCGATTTTATTGAATAAAATCTAAAATGCCACACACAGCGTCCTGCCAGCCTTCGCTCGAGATGTCTTCATCAACAAACTATTTATGACGTCACCCGGTGCGCGCCGCTGCCGCAACCAACAGAGCACAAACATACAGGCAGCGTGTATCACAGAAAGAGAAGATACAGTCTGGACTGCGACTGCGACTGGAGACGAGACGTACAAAAGGAAGAGCAATAGGAAGAGCAAAGCACATGGGAAAAGTATGCGCGCCACAGCTCGGGAATGCCAAAGTCAACTGAACTTTGAGAGAACGCTTCAGATGTCGACTTTTAATTTGATTAGCCAGCGACCAACGAGCGACTGTTTTTATTGAGAAAATTGCACTCGGTGTTTTTTTTTGTTGTAAATTTAAACTTCTTGTTTTAATTGCCATGCGCAGAGCACTGAGACGAATTGAAATGTTGCTCTGTTGTGTCCAGGTTTCGAATTTAGATTAACGACGCGGATATGCTAATTGAAAAGCTGCTAATTAAGATTTTTATTAATTACTCGCTTGTTAGTCAATGCTGCATGTTTGAAATCAACAGTTATTCACAGTTAATGATTCACTATTCAAAAATTTTCGGTTTCTACCACTTAGAGGTTATGTTTATGACTTTTGTGATTATGAGTTGGTACCTGCGGTTGGTAACAATGTAGATGTCGAAGTGCACAGATGTAAATCATGTAATTGTAGTGTGAAGAGCACGAGCAATAAATAAGCGCGCTGTTCGGTGAGTCAATGCCAATAAAGTAATGATCGGGTTTAAAGATTGTAATTACACTGTCTGGAGACATTCGTGTATTCACAGCGCAAAATGTAAGCGAAGACAAAGTAGAAACGTGAAAAACGAAGGTTAACATATGTTATAATGTATGCAACCCAATGTGCATAAAAATAAAGGTTATTTTGAATAAAACACACATAACTCATGTTGTGCGATATAATTTCGCTAGTTTTCCGCTATGTGCAAAGTGCAACATGCAAAAAAAACCGCTTTAGATTATCGCGGGCGTAATCTAATTGTTATTACCACTCTATCGGTCGCCTGGTTGCATAATAAAGAAGTAAAATGAACGCCTGTGGAAAAACAACGCGCACAATAAAGGTAGGTTTTCCTAATTTCTTTTTCCAATGGTGTTTTTCGTCGTGTTTTTTGCATTTTTCTGCGCATTGTCACGACACATTCCGTGCACAACGCTTTCAAAGCTCACAATACACACAAAAGCTCTAGCGTTACGTGTTACGTGCACGCGTGATATCACAACTAGAGTGCATCGTATTATTTTTACCTTCCACCACGAAAATCTCCGCGTATGAAGTTATTATAAAGTTTCGAAAGCACGAAGAATCGTTTTTAATCGTTGATTTCCTTTTATTTTTATGGGTGTTTTATGTTATCATCGTGTTTGTAAGCCATGTTAAAGTCGTCGCATGTGGGTTATGTTTGTGTAGTGGTCGCGCGGCGGATTTAATTCGAGGACTCATTAGTTTTGACGTGTAGGGTAGACTGGGTACGGTTGTGCCAGGGTACGGTAGTGACAGTCGTCATAATAACGAAACTAAACGTCATACGGGGGAGGGTGCAAGAGGATAAAGAAGCGGGGTGCAAATTTGAACGCTTTCCCTAGTATTGCATCAGTCATTGCGCGACGTTAACGTAACTAGGAGCCCACATTGCTTTTTGACAGTCAAAAGTAAATATTTTGGTACGGCTTCACTTAATAATTATTGTTGTTTGTATACAGATAGATTACATCTGTTTTTTGTTCCTTTTAAATTGAACATTGGTAGTTATTTATAAGCATTTGCTTTTTACGTAGATTATTTGACAAAGTCATGGCGAATTTTTGTTTTCGAAAAAGAGGTTCGGGTACGGTTGTGACAAATTTTGTGGGTACGGTTGTGACATTACTATAGTCGTTCTTTTTTGCTTCTAGATGCTTTTTTGCAGCCAATGCCTTAGATAACGCAATTCCTTCTTTTTTTGTATTCCTGTGAGTACGTTATCATGATCATTTTGTTAGAGATGGACCGATGTGATCAATTGGAACTGTAAATCCTTCAGGTTGGATGCAGGATGCCTCATTCTTAACATTTCTCGAACATTTTAAGAAATCCTTCTCTAACACATCAAGTTTTTCTATTGCTGGATAATCATTCCTCTCACATTCATATTAATGCACTAGATTTTTGCCAAGAGAATGGCCATTTTAGTGTATGTTTTTGCATGTCACAACCGCACCCAACCACTGTCACAACCGTCCTTGGTGTGTGGCCGGTTGTGACAATTTGACTTTTTTTTTTAAACTTATCTTATTAGTTATACGTCGTATCTAGGGCCAACATTTTAATATTCTTGTATAGACAAATGTACAAATTACCATAAAAGTTACTTTTCTACGATCTAACTGGTAAATTAACAAAACTATTGGTAATCAAACACAAATTGTCACAACCGTACCCAGTCTCCCCTATATCTATATTATAATATGCCACCCACCTTGCGCGCGCGGACAGACGGACGCGGTCGTCGTCGTCGTCATGGCCCACGGGACCAGAGTAGAGTAAAGAGTAAATAAGAGCACACGCGCGACGCTTAATCTTCACCAGCTTCGAATGTGAACAAGAGGCGAACCTGTGTAAACGCAGTCATTCAGGCTCATTTACATGCGGAGCTATTCTGGCCTATTCATGTTCACATTGTTGTCAAATTTATTGGAAATTTATTTTATTTATTGTATTAGGCAGAAAAGAAATACAAAAAACTTTTTTACTTTATTTTTTAGTAATATTGTAGTATTTTTGGTAAAATTGGTTGATAAATGAGGTTATTTTTGATAAAATGGTGTCCAGTTGGTATTTTGTTAATACTTTTGCACATATTTGTTGTTTTTTAGTGTTTTTTGAGTGTTTTAAACTAAAATAACTAAGAATAATTGTATTTTCGGTTTTTTTTATATTCGGCAACCAATTTTACACCATTTAACAAACTATAACCAGTTATTTATCAGTTTAACCCATATTTGCCCAAGTTGAGACATTTAATGCAATTGTCAAACCAAACAACCTTTTTCTTAACACCATAAACACTTTTTTCTTTTTCAAAATTTATTATTAGTTATTTTTACGTTTTTTGAGTATTTTACCGTATAATAACTCAAAACAACTTAATATAGTTGTATTGTATGTTTTTCTGTAACCTCTGCAACCAACATGACACCATTTGACATTCTACAACCAGTTATCCCAACCATATTTGCCAAAGTTTTACACCTTCGCCAGCAAATCCGCCGCATTATTCCTGATTTGTGCGTTTCGCGTTTAATTCTTTTTCGTTCTCCGAGCGTGCAATATGCGACCGCGCGCTGCTTATAATAATACACTCAATAACGTCATCTGTCCACTTTGTCACCAGAGTGGTAAGCCCGTAACTCCGCACGCCGCCGGTGCGCGAGTGTTCGCTCGCCGTGTCTGCGGTGGGTCCCTTCGCCGTTCCTTCATTCCTTCGGCTCGCCGGTGTCTCGGTGTCATATTATAGGAGACAACGAACGTGTATTAAACCAAACACCGAAAATTTAAGACCCGAAAAAAGGTAAACCTCGAACATTTTACAAGCACACTCGAAACGCACAACGCATAACCTCAAAAGCGGTCGAAATCATGTGGTAATGCGTTGATTGTAGACTCAATACAATTGGGCACGGAGATGATAATAGAGTGGAAGCGCAGAGATAATAGAATAGTATCTCGGATAATGGTATTGACGATAATAGCTTGCTTTGACTTCCATTTAGCTTCTGTTTGCTGCGCCAGCGTGAATGCCACACGAAGTTCGATGGAGCGTTTTGTGGTCCCTTTGTCATCCCTTCAACGCTCATATTTCACGTGACAATAATGCTGTATTTTGACTGCGGTTTCACCACACACCAACAACACCATTTGAAAGATTTAGAAGAAAAAATCAGGTAAATATTAAGACGTTTTCATAATTCAAAGGAAATTATTTATTACTTCACGATAAAGCGCTGTATTCGAATTCGTAACAGTTTAATGGAGTTAAGTGTAGGTTAGTGTAAAATCGGGATTATTTGCTGCTTTCTCGGGAAATACAATTCGAGCTGAAACAATTCTATTGAATACAAATTAATTCAATAAAATTGAACTCGGTTTTTAGTAGGTTATTCCTTGAAATTAACCAGGAAGTAATGTGTGGTAAGGTAAAATACTCTGGAACGGTTATATCAGCGGGTAGAGGAATGAAATTTCGATTCGATGATGACGAGGCGTTTTCTGTTTTCTTGTACGATGGGAATTTCGTTTGATATATGCAATTATATGCATATCAAAATTGAATTAAGAGCGCAGTTCGAGGAGACACTAGGAAAAGTAGAAAAACGTTTAATTTTCCTTGAAAACTTAAAATATTTGCATTTTTGTAGAAATACTTTTTGATATTATACAAAATTTGCAAAAAATGAAGTTTGTTAATGGAAAATGTTTTTTTTTAGAAAATTTAGCAAAAACACAAACAAAGTACCTATTTATGGCAAAAAATGATTTTGTGCAGCAAAAGAAGTCAAAACCTGTCAAATTACAAAGCAAAAGAAAAAAGAGATTTTAAATTTAAAGTAAATATTACTATTTATGTTCAATTTTATGATTTTTGTTAATTTTTTGAAAAAAAAATGAAATTTTTCGAAAAAAGTAGAAGTTTCTCCAGAAATATTAAACGCACAATATTTGCAAATATACCAAATCAAAGAAAAATAAATTTCTCATCTTATAACCATAGTGGTTTTAAAAATCTTCAAATAATTTGAGTGAAAAAAGCCAAAAACAGTTTATTTTACCATTTAACTACTCGTACTATTTCTCCAAACTTTATTTTTTGTAAATTCTCTCTGAACAGTTTGTTGATCTACGTATTCACATCATGACTCCCAAGACGTCGTTGGCGAGCTCAAGTCGATTTAGTTAATTAGTCTAATTGTGAGCTAGATTAAGTCGAGTAATAATTGACAGCTGAAGGCGTTTGTTTTTTCCGCCGCTACCGAAACAGTTAAAACTTAAACCTACACCGCGAGTTGGAAACTACCAAAACAAAACCAAACTAAACTAAACTAAACTTCAGAATACAGAATATAGATGAAAGATGCAAAGGTAACTTACTACACACTACTAATACTATTAGTTGTTGTAGTGTCTCGGAATGTTTGCGTAAAGTTGAAAGTTTGAAAAGTTGTCGGCCGGTCGCGGTTAAACGCACGACGTGAGTGAGTAGATATTTTGAGTTTGGGAGTCGCCGAGAATGAGTATATTAGTGTTGTAAGTGAGTGTTTTCGGTTTGTATTAATGCGGACCTCCACGGTTGAACCAATTACCGGCTATATTTATATTATGCGGTCGATGGTTATTTTTTATTCCATGCGCTCACCTTTCCTTCCTCTCTACCTATGCTAGTAGCAGTTGGGCGTTTATCTTCGACTGTTTTATTTTCCTTTGAGTTAATTACGCACAATCAGAATGTTTAGAATCTTTTTTGGAGCTATGCTAATGATATTAAATTTAAATATCATATTTTTCCGATTTTTGAGTAAAATTGTAAAAGTTTTAATGTTTTTGCAAATTCATTGTCTTGCGTACAATCGTCATTACTTGCTGTTTCTGCACATTTCTTGTTTCGTCTCTTCGCCGGGCTGCTCACCATTTGGCACTCTCTTGCAGACCGAGAGTCGGTCGACGCGCGCGCGCGTTCTCCTCGCAAAAAACGTCCCTAATGGGAAAATAAAGGAGAGGAGAGGCGACTTAACGTGCTTTATGTTTTATTTAACAACTTGTCTATGTGTGTGGTCCGCGGCCGCGGCACGCGATATACTACCGAACCATCGAGACGTTCGAGAGAGTCGGCTGATGTTGATTTTTACTCGTCTTCTTCTTCTGCTGCGTCTTGTTCTTCCCGAACGTGGCGGTACGCAATGCGCAATTACCCAGCGCATTGAACGGCACATGGCGTCGGGAGGACAGCACGTACGAGAACGAGGCGAAAAAATTGCGACCAGACGAATTCAATTTTGCGTACGAGAAGTTAAAGTACCTACATACGAGTACTTACTTGTTACAGTGTGCTTAAGTCTCTTACGTTAACATACATTGTGTGTTGGTTTATGGTTTGAGGTGGAGGTGCGTTGGAGAAGTGTGCGCTGGCAATTTGGGCGGATCACGTGGGCTAATATGCGAGGGCTTAATTATAGGGATTTTCGGCTTTTTATTATGGTTAATTCAATCATCATAAAAGCAACAACTTGGAATAATATCAATAATTTCATTAAAAATAATCAAATTTAATTTTTTCTTTAATTTTTTTGTTGTTTTAATAGTTTTCTTGCTATTTACGACCGAAAGAAGTCTAAAATACAATAAATATATAAAAAAATTAAAAATTGGGGGAAAAAATTGAAATTTTTCATGAAAAGCAATGAAAACTTTGAGATAAAAACTGTAAATTAAAAAAGATTGAAATTTTTGAAGGAAAAACATTAAAAATTTTTGAAAAAAAGCAAATTTTGTAATAAAATTGCAAAAAAATAATTAATTTCTTAAAATGATTAAATTACCTTCAATTTCTTATATTTTATTCCAGTTTTCTTGAGAATATAATTCACTTTAGCCTTGATTGATTCAATTAACTTTGTTGCAACGTGATTAAAACTAAAACTTTACTTACTTATAAAAAAACCTCCTCTTTAGTAATCAATTAATCAGACTCCAAATATGATGACAAGCAGTCGGATTGCGTTGACATTTCGCGTGATTAGTTGATTGGTTCTGCACTTTCTAACAACGCATTTTCATCTAATCAGTGTGCAACATACACACACACACACACACACACCGGCTGTGCGCGCAATCACACAACACAAAACTAATCAATTGATTTACCTTCATTAACGCGTTAATTTCTGCTTGAAATTTATTCTCGATTCTACTCGTATTTCCTCGCGTCTAACTTCTTTTCTAATGTTTCGCCTTGTTAATAAAAGTGCGCGATGTGATATTTAACCGATTGGACGTGGAATAAGTCGGATTCCGAGCTGAATAAGGCGAAATTGACTTATAAGGTTTTGGCATTAATTATGCAACCGATTGGCCGACTCTAACTAGGCTAATGCGTTTATTTTCTACGATTCGACGACAATTCTTCCACGGCGGCTATTTTTCTCACATTCGAGTTATTTATATCCTAGTTTAAGCGATATCTTGGAAAATCGTCGATTTCTGCTGCTTCGTGATTGAATTGAATTGAATTGACTTCACTATTGACATGACTAAATTAATCAAAGCTGCGTATCGGGTTTTATTCCAGCATTGAAAGCAATAAAAACAAAAACAAAACTAAATTTAGTTTTATTTTAATTATCTAATTATCTGAAAAATGCACTCCGGTCACGCATTTTACTCAATCGAAGCGTGGTGTGTTGGTTCTGACAATTCAGAAAATTCAACCCGAAAGTCACGCGCTTCGATTTTTATTGACGAGCCAAAAGAATTAAATTTCCGACATTTTTCGGCATTTTACGGCCGCTTAAACGCGTTTTACGATTACTAAAAACATAATATCGCTCGCGTCTGGAGCTGGCTAACAAATCGTTTTCACGTTTTCAGTCTCAAATCATAAAGCTCCGAGGAAATTTGTCAAATTAAACACGAAAATAAACAGTCAAAAATAAAACCAAAACCAAAAACTTGAAGTTTTCATAAATAATTACTTAGCAAATAAATATAGTAGTGAGGACTAATAAAACTGTGGGTATGGGTTGGTAAAAATTTCATAATGTGCTTATAACATCAGAGACCTAAATTAATTAGCAATAAATGCATTTAATGAGCGTGTTCGGAATGCGTGCGCTCCACGACCGTTCGGCAATTAATTTGTGACCAGTGCGCGCGTTATTCATACGAGCAGGACGAATTCTTTCCGAGAAAATGCGAGTAACATAATTAAATCTATTATATTTAACGTATTTTTTAGAGAAATATCGTTGAACAATAAATTTAAACGTGTTTCTTGTATTTTTTAAATGAATTTTCAATGTTAAGTAACGCAGGTGACAAAAAATCGAAAACATTTTTTAAATTCAAAAAAATTTAGTTTTTGGTTAAATATAATGAAAACTCAATTCATAAAATAATTTTAATTATAAAATTCGCGCCAGTTTCCACAAAAAATTAATTAATTTCAGTTTTACTTTACTTTCAGTTCTTAATAATATGAAATGTTATATTTGATGAATATTTCGTGAGAAATCGGAATAAAATGTTGATTCTTAACCTTTTACGCTGTGAAAATATAATTTTTGATCGTGATTGTAGCCGATAAATCACATTTGCATTTATTAATTGAAATAAATCATGAATGGCATTCTTGAACGCCACGATCGTAGTTCTGCATTTAATTATATGAAAAGATAATAGCTAAACGGCAAATCACAAAAACGAGAACAACCTCTTCTCGGTCTCGGAATAAAATTGCGCGTTGTGTTACGTTGGCGGATGCAATTTGTATGTCTTGCAATAAAACAAGTTGCAACTATAAGCGGGTTGAACTTTCGATATAAATCAATAGACACGAAAATAAACCAATATAAATCAATACACGCAATGGATAAAACACAATAAATTCATCGGTTAAATTTAAATCTTAAATATAGTTTTGTTCTTTTTTATTTTTAAATTTTGGAATGTTCAACCCGGAATCAAGTAGTGACTCATCACTTGAAAGTGAAAGAAGTCTTCATTCTTTTCGGGCCGAGAAAAATTGATTTACGTAGTGAGTTTAAAGTTGCTTCGGCTCGTTGGCGGGCACGAACCCCATCATTTAATTGTATCACCCGCGGGCAAGCACCAGCCAGCGACCAGGCCCAGCTCAAGACTGTTTCCATAGTGATATCGAGTAATAACAGTCTAA